GAATTGCGATTTTCTAACATTTTTTCAGTCAAAAATTAAAATATGCATGTGTGTATATGTGTGTGGGTGTGTGTGTATGTGTGTGTCTATTACTACTACTAATATGGAGAAAATCACACAAGATAAAGACCTGCAAATAGAAGTAGAGCGACTGTGGCAAAAGAAAGCAAAGGTAGTCCCAAGAGTTATAGGCGCCTTGGGTGCAATCCCAAAACATCTGGAGCACCCCTTGAACACCATTGGCATTGACAAAATCACCAATTGCAAAACGCAGCTTTACTTGGAGCTGCTTATATTCTGCGACAATATCTTTAACACCATCAAACAACAACATCTGCCTATCCCAGGTCCTTGGGAAGGACTTGCTTGGGTGCAATCCCAAAACATCTGGAGCACCCCTTGAACACCATTGGCATTGACAAAATCACCAATTGCAAAACGCAGCTTTACTTGGAGCTGCTTATATTCTGCGACAATATCTTTAACACCATCAAACAACAACATCTGCCTATCCCAGGTCCTTGGGAAGGACTTGCTAGGAGGATAAAGATGCCAAACCCAGTCTAAACATTTGGCTGACTGAGCGACCAACCATAATAATAAAATAAAAGATAGCAAGCATGATGAAGTGAAGCGTCTCCCTTTCCCTTGTCAGTGTGTGTGTATGTGTGTAATATATGTATTACCTTCATGTAGGTTTAACACATCAACAGAGAGGACAATTCCGTGTCTTTGGTCTCCAAAACGAACAAAAAACCAAAACTCCCAATCCCACTAGAAATTCCATCTTTGCTGACTTTAATAATATTGCTACCGATGTAGTAAAACATGGCCCTAAACAGTGAATAGTAAAAACAGTGAGGAGCCAATACTTTACATTTAATATAGGAGGGACTGTGACCTCAGAAGCCATCTACAGAAGCTTGCGGAGGCTGTCTTCTCTTTGGGGGACATCTGCATTCCTCGCAGCCCTTGGCAGTCAGAATTTATATTGCCTAAAGTATTTTATAGCCGGTTCTCAGAAAAGAGTCAGCGATTACGAGCTCAAAGTATATGCACTGTGTGGTCAGATAAACAATGCCATGTTAGGTATCCCTTGCAATAGATCTAGTGTGACATATGAAAAAACTCCACGCAGCCTAACATGGAAATAGGAACCTTAAAGACTCCTCCAGTAACAGCTGAAGAAAGAAGCTGTTCTGACGCACTCTAAATAGCCAGAACGGGATCGACCCCACTATTTTCAAGAGTAAAAGCGGAATTACAAGATGATCCCCTTGTGGAAGGATTGAAACAATCCCTGAGCCCATGATCTGGTACATCTGTGCAAGAACAATGACATCATTCACATCTGTGGGGGCCTGAAAGGGCTAAATGAAACTGTGGAAAGAGAGAAGAACATCCCCATTGCTATGATGACACTCATCCAAGCCTTGCAGATCCTTCCTGCTTGATGTTGCCAGTGGATTTTTGACACAGCTATACAGACCCAGATTGTGCAAACTATGTTAGATAACCCCACTTGACAGATGTTTCTTTAGAAGATGTCTTATGGTTTTTACCATTCACAAGTTGTTTCAGAGGGAAATGGCAAGCCCCTGGAGAATTTGGTGTTCATGTACTACTTCTTGGCTGATGGCTTTACTGAAGATGAACATGACCAGAAATGGCACATGGTCCTAGTAATTATAAGCTGCAGACCTTAAACTGAACAGAACAAATGAAAGATCTCACCTGTTTTTCCATAAGTAAACATGGCCTGAGCCCAGATCCAGTGCACATGGAAACTATTTTAGGATTTACACTTCCAGAATCTGTAGCAAATAGATTTTGGGGAGCTTGGAAGATTTGTATCACAACTGTCAGAGGTGCTAGAGGAACCTTTAAATGAATGACTCAAAACAGGTACAATTTGGCAGTGGAAACACATTTAATGCGGAGCTTTTGGGAATGTTGAAAAACTCTCAACTTAAACCCTAATACTGGCTATCTGTGAGGTTAGCGGATACATTACTGTGATTGCTGATGTCAGTAACTTCAAGATAATGAAGAAAGGATGAAGCCAATAGCCTACTATTCCAGAAAATCCATGGGTCCAAAAAGTGGCATTGCCGAATAAAGAAATATTTTTTTTCAGCAGGGTGGACACATGGATTATTTCAAAATATCACTATAGACTGGAATCCTTTTAGCTACAGAAAGGCCACCAACCACTAGTTTCACTGATAAAATGCAAGGATTTGGACTGAGTACCCATAAGATGCTAGATGATGAAGTATCATCTGGGCAGAACACATGTAGAAACAGATATTTTGTTTTGATACTTATTAAAATCCTCTGAAATAGATTTAATTCAATTTCTAGAATTAGACAGCATTGTGGGAAGGAAGGGCGGGAGAAAGGAAGCTTAAAGCTTTGAAGATGTGAACATTTATGAAGCAGTATTGTGTCCCTCAGTGTCTGTTCTGGATCACTTTCTTCAACATACAGTACATATCATATTACTGTTTCTGATCCAGACTTCCAGGCAATAAGAAACTCTTAACAAAATGCATGCAGCTTGTTTTCTACACTGCATTCATTAATTGCAGAGACAGGAAGTCTTAAAAACGTCACTGGAGCTAATTCTATATAGTAACAAAACGGATATTCCAGCTGGGATGTGCTAATAAATACCAACCCCTTTGAACCTTTCATGAACTTAAACATAAAGAATTTATCCGCCTAAGCATCATTACATGGGAAGAACATGCAAGACCAATTCTTTAGTGACCATGGTTGACTCAAAATGTTTACACATTTGGAGTAGAGAACTGAAGTTGATATTTATGTAAATGAAGGTCATAAGCTCTTGGCTGATCTGATCTCCCAAGATCTGTTGCCACTAAAGGCTTAAGAAACCAAATGATTAGGGACCCATGATCATAAATATAACAGACAATTCTGACCCTTTTTGGGAAAAAGTATATTGTTCATAAAGAATTATAATTTGACTCATATGGCATCAGCTTCTACAATCTACAAGCCAATGGAGAACAAGTACAAAGCTACTTCAAAATACAAGAGATCTATTCTTAGCTTCATAAAGAAGCTGTTCCTAAAGCCCTTGACCACCCGCTCAGAAAGTGAATTCCCCTGCCAAAATGTTGCCGATCCCCTTCTGATGTTGCATTAGCTCATGCCATTTTGTGGCTGGAGAGTATGAAAAATGGAGGGTTCTGTCCTCTCTTCCTTTTAAAATTAATCTTACTATTTAAATCAGATTTTATCTGATGATTTCCAGCCAAGCCAGGTTTTCACATTATATTATGTATTAGGCAATTTTGATAGTTTTATTAAGCTAAAAAAGATTTCCTGTATTGAAAATCATACCTGATATCATTTACATTTTTTAATCAGATAAACCTGTTCTTATTTTTATACCATATTCAAATATCAGTAGTGCATAGAAATGCAACTGTTCTGCTGTTTTTGAAAGTCAGCAAAATACTAATCTAAACATATATTCAGGTAGTCTGTAACTAAGTACTGGATCATCAAATAATTGTCTAACTACGTTAAATGTATTCATTTTATTATATTTACAACTAGTTTTTCTTTCTTCACAGACTTCAAACAGGCACAAACATGGGTCCCAGCTAGACTCCCTTCCAATCATTTGACCATATTGAAACTTGCTTAGCTTCATCAAAGTTACTGCATAATACATGCGAGACTGTAACTTGGTTCTTCCCTCATTTCGCTAATCCTAGGGACTTGAGATAGGGGGAAAATAAGCTCAAATACTTACATAAATAAATAAGTTGAAAGAATAGAGATAATTCAACCTAGGTGCTTTTAAACATCACTCACTAATACTAAAGATACAAAAGAAAAAATACTGCTGCAATGAAACAGCCTGGATTTATGCATAGTGTGGGCTCTGAAAACTTCATTATGCTTCCATTAATCTGTCTGCCGGATGGGTATCCCAGAACATTTTAGCACTCTTTCATGAACTTATAAGCATCCTTGTTTATCAGCTTCTTTGATCTCTGTGGGAACGCAGGTTTGGCGTTAATGAAAATTCTTCTGCAAGAAGATACGCTACAGGGTTGACATGAAATTCATCTGAGGCCTACTGAGCTCTGGGCACAATCAAACTGTCTTCCTGAAGAGAATGTATTGTTCACCACATGGGTGCATTTTGAGATCTTTTTTATTGCAGCCATGTGTTCTTCTTTTCAACTTGCAACAGAAAGCAAGTTGCGCAATTCAGGGCACTAAACTGGAGAGACTAATGCTAGCTGTTTCAGAATTATTGAGTAACTTTGACCTACCAGACAAAGCTAGCATGCATTTGACGTAGAACGTAAAGGAGGATAAAGGACTATGCACATACTTTGAATCCTTGGGCTATACGGGTCTTCTATTCTAAAAGCAGGATCCAGGACACGATAAATTACCTGAAAGTAACATGGGAACAACTCAATATAAAAGAGATTTCTACTTTGCAAATAAGGTCTTCAGTCATATACAAACAACCAACCTCTCCCTCAGTTGAAGGTTCAATATCAGAATACCGAGAATCACAAATAATGTCATCTACTTTCTTCATTGGTCCAGTGGAAATGCCTGGGAACGAATTCTCACAGTCGTAGGCAAAATATCGATATACTTGCCAAGTTTTCCCAAAATCTGAGGATCTTTCAATCAACATTGCAGAGGGGCGGAAGGTCTGAAAAAGCAAAAAGAGAAGTCGATTTCAGGTCATCTGGAGCTGCAAATTGTTTATGTTGATATTGGAAAGTTAATTTTCCTTTTTTCCCCTCTTTTCATGCTTTTTTAATGCACGTCCTCACACATATCCTGCCTCTGTGTGTGTGTGTGTGTCTGTGTGCATGTGTGTGAATAAGAGAGAGCGTCTAATCAGGGAGGGCGCAAATGTGCTGCCTCTGAGTGTGTTTTGGTTCTGCTCTCATGTTGCATCTGCGTGCGTGTGTGTGCGCACGCGCATACACAGACACACGCGGGCAAGCTGCATCCGCTCCATTCTGGGTCACATGATCAGGGGAGAGGTGGGCGGGGCTCAGGGATGTGGCAGTCAGCAGCATTCTCAGCTACTGCCCTATTGCCTCGGGGCCGTCCAGCAGACTCTTGAATTTGATCGTTCTCTGCTGATCTGCGCTGCTTTCACAGAGCTATCCTGCTGCCAGATACAGAGATGGACTAACAGAGTCCTGGGCTCCCTTACATAACTTATTTCCAGCATTCTTTGGGGTTAGAAAGAATAACAAGAAGACATTGTGTAGAAGGTTTATTTTATTAAATTGAAATTTAACCCACACTTTTCTATCTGAAAAAGTACCTACGCTGGAGTTTTAAAAGCCAAACAAATATCATTAAAATCTTTCCACCTGCACTTAACACCTTTTAACTGTAAATGCTGTAACCCACTTGATGGGGGGAAAAACAACAACACCCTGTTCAGAACGGTAACAAAAATTATGTTTTTGAATGTTCCTATAAGCTGTGCTTTTACGATTGCAATTATCAGCATGTATGGTCTGACTGCAAATCTCAAGAGGATCAAACTATTGCATATCTTTCCAATAAAAATGTATTTTAAACCATATGTTACGACTATCCTGCCAGGACATCTGTTCAGAAGGAAAACAACATTTTGTATACAGATGTTTTCCTTCCCCTCCCCCTGAAGATTATTTCAACTGCCAAAAGTGAAGGAATTCTAAAGTCAATATATCTGTTGTCTTAAATAATTGCATTGTGGGGATTGGGCAAATTTTCACACAGGTATTAAGAATTAATACAGAGCAAATGAGATAGCCTTACAAAGCGCACACAATTCTCACCTCTGCAGCAACAGAAATTCAGTGATCAGAATTTTCCAAAAAGGCCAATTACAGGAGGATAGATATGAAGAAGAAACACTAAATCTTTTTCTACTTTATGAGTGTTTTGGGATTTATTCAAAGCAGTTCTTATCTAAAAATACAGAACAAGCCAATTAAATTGCACCATAAAACTAAGGAATTTGTAGTCTGTCTTTCCTCTTGAATTCCAGGATGAATAGTTTTTAAAATCCTTTAATACACTTATCTTATTCTAAAACGCTAGTTAAGCCTCTAACTGGCATCTATGAGCAGGACATAGGGCTCTTTGCAACTTGAGAGAAATGTTATGGATTCTTTACCTTGAAGGTCATAATGAGATGAGTGAAATGGAATTCCGCCTCTAGATCCAATTGGACGGTCACATTTTCTACTCCTACAGGACCGAAAGGAAAAAAAGAGAGGAAGTTGCATTGTAAACAAGAACATTTGTTAAAAGCTGAATTCCATCTCTTCCATTCCCTTGAGGGAAATAGGCAGGGCTTCAAACCAAACCCTTTCTTTCTTTCTTTCTTTCTTTCTTTCTTTCTTTCTTTCTTTCTTTCTTTCTTTCTTTCTTTCTTTCTTTCTTTCTTTCTTTCTTTCTTTCCTTTCTCTCTCTCTCTCTTTTCTTTCT